TGCTGTTCTTGATGACTGTGGGTTGCATGTAGATTTTGGGGGCCCTTTGAATAACAGACTGCTTTGTAGCACATGAGATCGTGTGCAGTAAGAAGTTCCAAGGAGCATCCACATCGAGTTGAGTGTGAAAATTCTAATCCACCTGTTGTAGATAGTCCTGTAGAGCTAAAACATCCAACTGTTTGAAATTCCAACGCAAGTTATTGTTGGGTATCTTAGCTTAGTTTTGCTGACAAAACTGAAGGCTATAACGGCTTGATCGCTTTTCCCTAGGGGAGTCAGTATTGAGAGGTTGTCAACTAGAAATTATTCATTTGTAAATAACCAGCCTAAGCGCGACGGTATTTGACTGTTTCTCCAACGAGTTGCCAACTCCACATTTTCTTATAATCCCAGATCCTCAATGAGGTTGAAGAACCGCGCTTCAGTTGAGTTTTCACCTCCAATATACGTATGTGTAGTGGCATCGGACCATAACCACACTATCCTCAAAGCTGAATACGAGATTACTCGGAAAATAGCTATTCAATATTTAACGCGAAGAAATACCTAACGATGGAGAAGGCGCGAATAATGAGTTAAATGGATTAGAGTTGATCGAACGGCATGGCTCGGCCATGCAGGCGTGGTCTCTGCTGAATGTTACCTTATATCTTCTTTTCATATTAAATATATTGTTCTTTCTCTAGCCTAACCTTGTTCTACATCATGTATTGGTAATTGATACGATACAGTGAGTTGGTGTAGTCGATGGTGTGACTTCCACGTAAGATCTTATAGATTAGGCAGTCATATCATGACAAATCTACAAATTTAGGATTAGGTCTATTATTAGAGCAGTACTAATATCATCATAGACCATAAGTTCTACATTGGTGAGCCCGACGTGATGAAACTGTTATCGTCTGCCCGTTATCGTCTGCCCAACTTTGAAGTCGAGTCAGATACTCCTGAAGTGCCTGTGTATCGTCTTGGTTGCGTATCTCTCTCCAAAGTTTCACGTCGTCGGCAAAAAGTAATAAGTCTGACGTTACCTGTTGAGGAAGATCGTTTATGTAGTTCAAGAAGAGGAGATGCCCGAATACTGAGCCCTGAGGGACCCCACTAGGACATTCCATAGCCTGAGATAAAGTGCAGTTAACCCTAATCTTAAAGTGTCGACTTTCTAGGTATGAAGTAAGCCAATCGATTAGAGGTGGTTTGATACCTAGTCGTTTGAGCTTATTGATAAGACACAAGTGGTTAACTTTATCAAAAGCTTTTGAGAAATCAAGGTAAATGATATCAACCTTTCCCCTGCGATCGAGGATACTTGTCCATCTGTCCGCCGCAGTCAGCAGGTTGGTTATCCAAGAGTAACCCTTCTTGAAACCATGCTGTTGGGGTGAGAAGAAGTTTAAGGACAGTAAATAGTCATGTATACTACAACATATCAAGGACTTCATGATTTTTGAAGGTATAGAAAGAAGAGCCACCGGTCGGTAACTTGAAGGTTCGCTGTGTCGACTTCCTTTGAAAATTGGTGTGATGTGGGCCAACTTCCAATTTTCTTGTAGTTTACCTCGGCTAAGTGAGTGTGAAAACATCACGCTAAGCAGGGTTGCCGGGATTGAGGGTGGTTCCCTTAGTACGGCAGAATGAACTATATCTGGGCCAGGGGAAGTATCTCCTTTTAGGTGCTGCAGTTTCCGGAACACCAAGTCAGCGCTTATGTCCACTTCGAAAAGCCCTGTGGAATTACAGGTGAAACTGTCGTCAATAGAGTTGATATCAGCCGGCTGAAATGTTTGAGAGTAGTGTGCCGCAGAAGGTTAGCGGCGTCACTATCGTTGTTGGTTGGGCCGTTAAGTCCTAGCAGTTGAGAAACTCTTGTTTTGGCTTGACGAAGAGAGGCTGCATAACGGAATAGGCTTCTAGGGTTCGAGGCAAGTTTGTCCATAAGCTTTGTCTGATAATGAAGCCTGTCTTCTCTTATAGCCTTCGTGCATATGTTCCTGATATGTTTGAATTGCCTATACTCTCCGTCGTTGTCAGTTCGTTTGTATTCCGCCCAACAGTGCCTTTTGCGGCTTAGCAGGCGAAGGGTACGCTTCTTGATTATTGTAGGTGGCTTACAGCTTTTGGGAACCGTTTGAGGAACTGATTGGTTTGTAGCACATAAGAGCGTGTGCAGTAAGAAGTTCTAGTGACCGTCCACATCGAGTTGGGGGTGAACATCCCAAACCACCTGTTGTAAATAGTCGTGTAGAGCTGGCACATTCAGCCGTTTAAAATTCCAACGCAAGTTATTGTTGGGATACCTTAGCTTAGTTTTGGTGACAAAACTGAAGGCTATGACGACATGATCGCTCTTTCCCAGAGGAGCCAAGATTGAGAGGTTGTCAACTAGGAATTCTTCGTTTGTGAATACACAGTCTAACCGCGATGGTGTCTGACTGTTTCTCCAACGAGTTGCCGACCTCACATTTTCATATAAGCCCAAGTCATCGATGAGGTTGAAGAACCGAGCTTCAATTGAGTTGTCACCTCCAGTATACGTGTGTTCCACGAAGTTGACTATAGGAAGGTTAAAGTCCCCTAGAATCAGGATATGTGTGAAACCGAGACGGGTAGAGCGGGATAGTCCATCCAGCATACGAATATCGTACTCGATGTCAGCAGTTAGTTTCCTGTAAATGACACCGACTAGACACCTCGAAGTGCTAGACAATCTTACAGAGCACCATATGGATTCCTCAAGATTGCTAAACTCGAGGTTGTGAACTTGGTGCACCTCCAAGCAAGAGCTTATGTATATGGCTACTCCACCCCCAATTCCTGTTGTTCTGTTGTTGCGGAACAAAGTCATCCCTAGTAATGCTAACTCTTGGTCCGAGAACTGAGAAGATATCCAGGTTTCAGATATTCCTATCAGGTGGGCCTTATTAGCATCGCAAAGTTCACGTAATTCATCCAGTTTGTTTGGTAGACTCAAAACGTTCATATATAAGCAGTTTATGCTTTCAATTTGGAACGCGTGAGCTTCGTCCTGTTTTTCTGTATGAGCCTTATGTGAATGGACAGGTAGCCCACGCATGTGAGGTTTACCGAGGTGGTAGGCCCTGTCCTTTACACGTTTTTTTTATCGTTTAGACAATCCACAAGTGGAATGGTCAGCTCCAACTTGCCTTTGTGCTTGGTCCTGGCTTCACATGGCCTGTCCGGGTGCATGTGGATTCCAGGTGGCAATCGACGTCTGTTGGCACGAAATGCTTCCAGAACTGCAGCCGCCATGTGGGAAGATGGGAAGGTTATCTTCATTAGACGGGGTCTAAGATCACCGTCCTTCTTGGCTAATCTCGTCACATGCTGAGTCAGTATGTGTTTGAGCCTCAAGGACTGTTTGATGAATTTCCATTCCCTGATGTCAGAATTTGATTGAGTAGGGTCTGCATTCTCCGGTATACCTTGCACAATTATGTTTCTTCCGCGGAAAAACTTCTCGCGAGATTCTTCAGGGATGTTTCGTATGATATTGCGCTCAGAGTACGGTATGTCGGGCAATATTCTTACGTTACCATCTGATTTCAGCAAGTGACTTGCTAGTAAGACGTCCTCTATGTCGGTAGCATTCTTAGGTGTTACTCGGAGAAGCCTTGGGTGATTTAGATGCTTAGAGTCCTTTCTTCGAGTGAGCCGGGTGACCATCAAAGGCTCTATTCTAGGAAGTTCTAGCTTCTTGTTCAATTCGCCCCAAAGCATCCTGTCGTTTTTGTCCTGCAGACTGAGAGGAAGGTCAGGATTATCAACGAGGTTCATGATAATGAGAGAGTCGTCACGAACTGTTGTTAATTTACCAGGTTTCACGGCGGATTCATGTTTAATGACTTGCTGTTTGGAGGTCAGTGTGCCTTTATGAGGCTTGGACTCTTTTTTGACCGGACGAACAGTCTTGGGAGTAGACTGTGCGACCAAATCACCAGTTAATTTCCGTGCAGCAACACTTGGGTTGCTCGGCTTAGGCGGTGATGCCTGGTTCTTTTGGGCTTTCTTAACTTGGGTCGAATCACCTACAGGGTTTTTGGGAACCACTGTTGAGTTCAGGGACCCTGAGCTGGGAGACCCGAGTTTGCTTAGGGAGTCTAATACCTTCGACGTAATGATGGTGCTGAGCCTCGACACGTCATCATTAGTGTTGATGGATGTTCCATCGATGGTTAACCTATCGACATCCCTGTTTTTGTATCCGTCGCACGCTCTTGTTTGTCTACCGGTTTTCTTACTGTCGTTGTCCAAGTTAACTGACAACTTGTTCCGAAGACCTGTCAGTAGGACAATGATGTTACTCAGCAAAACTACAGCATCCGTGCTGCACGTGACACATACCCATTTTTGGTCTGACTTGCTGAGTCTGTTGTAAGCAGTTGATGTCAGATCTGTGCATGCTTCGTGGAACCAACCTTTTGCAGTTGTCGCACTGCATGCCAGTTGCAACAGCAAAACGGCATCCCGGACGTTTGCATGAGTTTTTCATGACTATGTTGAAGCAATCTATGTTATAAATGCTTGCAAGAGCCTAAGACCTTCATAGAACACTAAAAAGCACACTGAAAACGGACAAAAATGGATAAAACGAGTGTTATAAACTGAAACTAGTCTATACGTGAAAAACAAAAACAAACCGAATAGTAAACTGAGGCAAAACCACAGGTAACTATTAATTATGGTGAAACTCAAAAAAATAGTAATCTACCGAACGTATAGCTCAGGATAGATTCTTTAGAACTGAAATGGTACTTTTGTTGCGTAAGAACACAGCAAAAGTTTGATAAATGCAAATCACGTTAGTACTAAACTTCCCGTTCGTGTCATTTACACCAAATCCGACGACCATACCTTGTTCATTTGTTGCGTACAGCTTTATGAATTGCAAGTAGACTCAGTTATTCTATGGTTGAACATTGGGCATGGACACTAAGGAGGTTGTTTGAATCATTGTCCCTATCATGTAACCGGTTAAGTTGATTGCTATTTGGGTTCTGGCTTCGCGTTAGGTAGTCATTCGACAGTGTCATGTATGATTTTCTACTAATTTATGCAAACATAAGTTCTGTCCGTTGTTTAGTTGACGGCAGGTGTCCTAGTTTGTACAGGAACGGATGTTTATGTAGATATCTTGTTACAGTACCAAGAGTTTGGGTTGGCAGTAAACCTAAGACTCATCAGAGTATTTGTGTGAGTGGAAATTTGCCAGACTAAGTTGTGATCCAGGTCCTCTTAGTTCTACACATCAACACCCATGGACTTTCATCATGTAAGCACCTCCCGTGCTTCTTTGAAGAGCAAACATGCAACTCCTTGTGTGTAGAGCATTTTCTTCGTCGTAACCGAAATACAATGATAATTCCTCGAGTCGTCTCTTTCCGTCCAGATTGTGTTCAGTAGGTTCCACCTATTCCAAGCAGAACCAGGTTTTATCTTCATTTCCGCCGCTGTTTGATTGACCTTCCCAAATTCTCTGTACATTCTGTGTATGCATTAGCCTTTGCTCTAGTTGCCGAACGAGGTATAGGGCCTATGATCCTCAAAGAACCTGCTCTTGCCATGAAATGTTACAAGTTTCACATCAAGACCCTTCAATTCTCAGGGCACAGGTTGAGTGGTCTGGATGGTTTTTCTGTGTGTCGTTTTCCTTAGTTAAAATTTTCCTCTCGAGGTGGGGTTGCTAACTCTACAATAGGTCCTTAACTGTCGATCAAAACAGGGGCACCTCCCAATGAGGCTTCGTGCAGTGTCATATATGTATTAAGAGCTATATGCCCATCACTGAGTCACTGGCTATGTGGGGATTACGGAAGACTTTGCTTGGTACATCTCAGTTTTCAGGATATACAGTTCTAATGATGGCATGCTCTGGGTTTATTCGGGGTTTTGGACGTTTGTACAACCGCTGTGGCAAAGAGCACTTGGCTCCTTACCTTGTCAAGTAGTGTCCGGACTGTGCACGAACACAGACACACATTCAGACGCCCCACAATGGTAGTATTTCTCGATCTTAAGGCGGCATTCGACTCTGTTGACCGTGAGGTTCTATGGCAGTGTTTGTCACTGAAAGGAGTACCAAAGAAGTACATTAACCTTATAAAGGTTCTCTACTCGAACACATCTGGTAGAGTGAGAGCTTATGGCGAACTGTCATCAGAATTGATTACCTCAAGTGGTGTTCGTCAGGGCTGTCCACTCTCTCCATTCTTGTTCAACTTTGTGGTCGACGTACTTTTAGAGATAACACTCTCCTCATCTAAATTTCCGGGGGTTGAACTTCTACCGGGAGGTTCACTTGTTGACTTAGAATATGCAGATGACATAGTTTTATTTGGTGAAGACACTGACAAAATGCAGAGTCTTCTGACCACTCTAAACAACAATGCAAGCATGTTCGCGATGCGATTCTCTCCCTCGAAATGCAAAATGTTGCTTCAGGATTGGGTTGCATTGACACCCGAACTAGTGATAGGGAGTGAAGTAGTTGAGTGTGTCGACCGCTTCACTTATCTTGGAAGTCTCATCAGCCCTAGTGGTCTGGTGTGTGACGAAATCTCAGCACGGATACAGAAGGCTCGACTAGCTTTTGCCAACTTGCGTCATTTATGGCGTAGGCGAGATATCCGTCTACCAACCAAAGGACGTGTTTACTGCGCAGCAGTTCCATCCGTCCTAATTTATGGCTGTGAAACATGGCCGGTAAGAGTAGAGGATATTCGTAGGTTACTAGTATTTGATCATAGGTGTCTTCGAAGTATTGCTCGTATATCCTGGGACCACCGAGTAAGTAACGCAGCTGTTAGAAAACGGGTACTAGGTAAGGATGGCAAATCAATTGATGAAGTAGTGAAACTTCATCAGTTGAGATGGCTGGGACACGTGTTACGTATGCCCAACCACCGACTACCTCGACGTGCTATATTCAGTGGTATAGGAGTAGGTTGGAAGAAAGCTAGGGGCGGCCAGACCAAAACATGGCACAAATCCATGAAGTCACTGACAAGTGGACTGAGTCATATTGGTAGGTGTAGACTACCTGGTTGGGGACCGCGAGATGATAGCAACCGATGGTTAGAGACCCTAAATGACATGGCTCAAAATCGATTGCAATGGCGCAGGTGCATCCACTCTCTATGTTCTCCCAAATTCTAATTATCTGAATTCTTCATGCCCCTTTTTTTTCCTCTTTCCAAATTTATTTCACTGGATTATACTCTTTAAGTAACATCTCCAAACCCTAATCCTCCCGATTACTGCTTATACTCTTGCTACATCTACCACTACGGGATTTGAATCGACCACTGCATCTCTGTGCTAATGTGGTGTGGCAACTCGAACTGATGTACGTACGTACTAAGTTCTACGTTGTTACTGACTGACTGACTGCACGAACTCATCCGCGTTGATTGCTAACGGTGACATGTCAGTTTTTCGATAATGACAAAAGCTCGAGTCACTAGTCCTTTGTCTTAAATTTGGATAAATCTAACGGGAATCCTGACACAGTTTCTCAGAAGATGCCTACCCAATTAAACTTTAGATGGCTGTTGTGGGACTCTATATTTTGGACAATCTAGTACGAGTACGTAGTCCGACTTAATCAACTCGCAAGAGAGCTTGACTCACCAACCAAATTAATTGAGTAAATCAATTAAAATTATGTTGAGGATATAGATATTTGAAACATTTGTACCTTAAGTTAATCCGTCGCTTAACTGCACCATATAGCTCTCCGAGTTTTGGCAATGTTATCATAACTTTAGATCTAGCATTCAAGTGCAGTATCGCGCAACACTACCACAGGGATTGTATCCCAAATCCTTTAATTCCATAAATGAACCGTCAGATTGAAGATTCAGAGTCCCAGTAATTATACCTGCTTATAATTAGACTGCACACACCGACACGTACCACTCTGTACTGACTACTGCTTTCTTTTCCATCACTCGAAACTTGTTTTGCTTGGTGGACAAGAGGACAATCTGGTTGTTTTCGGGTAATTGGCAACGCTTGCTCTTATCTCCTAGTTATGATAACTTTGATCAATTTCTTGGCAGACAGGCTTTCATTTACTTCCAGTGACTCAGAATAAAGTCATCCAATCAGAAGTTATGTAGAGATCTTTGAGTTTTCTGCCTGATCAGTAGCCTTGAGGCATGCTCTACTTTTGGTGCCCGATTTTATATGCTTAAATTGTTAAATAAGAAGTTGATTTTACACGCCATAGTAGACACATCATTATCGGTTTGCTTTACCGGACCGCATCACCATATTGCAATAAGATCATTTGAGGACAAATCCCAGATTACTGAGAGTAGCAATTGAGAAGATCAGGTATGGAAAAAAGAATATGTATCGAGATTTTGGGACTCAGGTTTTAGATGAGTGAATCCATTTACATTATTGCGAAGATTCTGGATCATGTCAACCAAAGTCCCTAACAGTTGGTTTCGATATTCGCGGATTCCAACCATGCTGTCTACACTTATCTGCATAGCTCAGCCCAACGGTCAGTGACTCCATGGATTGGTGCCATGTCTTAGTTTCGCCTCCCACTGGTCTCACAGTCTATTCCTACACCAGACATCCCTGTTGAAGGAAGCGGTAGTTGGATATACTCAATGGGTACCAATAACCTTAGGTGACCATTGCGTAGGTTTTTTATTGGGCTGCGTTTAAGCTGCCAACGCTTCTTATCGTGTTCAGACCAAGACGGGATGAATTCTCGAGCATCCATCAGTTCAGTGGGCGCTGCTGAAATCCATTTATATCTCTTCACGTTCTGGCCCAAGTTACTGGTAGGTATCACAGCTGTTTGAGCATCATGTCCGACTGCCTCGGGGTGAATATCATTCATGATTAACTAGTTGATTCTCTAGTTGTTCCTGAAATATGTTCATCAAGTTGAACCTCAGGGGTTTTGTTGTGCCTTTCATACGTCCAGTAAGATGCAGCTAAATATATGCTTGCACTAGACTGCAACTCCAGTCTAAACATGCGTCCCAGTACGGTCGACAGCCTACTTTTGATTCCCTCCAACGACGTCTGATAGCGATGTGGTCTATTCGCGTCCATCGCTGACTCGATTGTGAGGTCGCCGTATCAGATGATGTTTAAAGTTGGTGCTTGTTATAACCAAACTGTTATTTGTGCATAATTACTGCATCCGTTTGTCGTTATCTGTTCTGCGAGCCGCAATACCATAAGACCCACCTAATTGCCTTTCAGTTTAGTTTAAACTATCTACCTAAAAATAACAATTACCTCCCACCAGGACTATATCTGAGCGTTTGGCTTTTTGGAGGTCGGAAGGCTTTCCATGAGACTCATTTTCTCCTTGATCCAAAGCGTAAGCAGAGGCAACGGTGTGCTCTCATATTATCGAGGTTTTGTCCCGTTTAATCGGACAGCACAAAAGCGACTGTCTGTCAGAGTCTAGTTCAAGAGAGTCTGTTCTCATTGTGAACTTAGTGCTATAGCCTCATATGCGAGACCGCTGCACTGGAGAGCTGCAGACGATCTTCTGGAGTCCTATCTTTGTTATCCTGTTGTGATATTCGGCACGTTTTATTTTTGTGATCTCCACTATTTGTAGTTTATTACACGATTTTAGCGGGCCAGAGATAACATTTATTTTAAAGGTCTTACTATCAGAGACAAAAGTCTTTAGGGTTAGTTGTGACATTTTTAGACATTGACATTTCTTACCCCTCCCCGTTGTTTGAAGTCACCATCGTTTCATATATTGGTTATATGAGCCAAGCATTTGTGCGGTCAGCGGTATGACTTCTCTTAGGACATTAAGTTGCTGCTCTTAATGGTACCGTTTTTTTCAAATCATTTTACTCGCATGGTAAGACGTACAGGAACGAAAGTCTGATCTAGTGCATCTCGATTGAGTCATTATGATAGGTAGCCTTAACCAACACGTTAGTGTAATAGCTACATTTGGCCAATAGGTAATAAGGCCAAACTTATTACCGTTGTAGATCCACTAATGTACGTTTGGAATTCGTATTTTTGTTAATTTTTTAAAATGTATTATGATTTTCAATCAGATGATAGCTAAAATTAACTATTAATCCGGTTATTAACTAATGTCTGTTGTTTTCCAGCTATGTGGCCTCATTTCTCCGCTGCTGCCTGGACAAAATCTCTCATTCATGGCCCCCCACCATCCATTGAGGAAAAAGTGGATAATTCTGATGGCTGGGGAGCCCTAGCTCGACAGTGGGCACATCAGCGTAGTAGCCAATTGCAGCCTCATTACACTAACAATGTAGCTCTACCTCCTCCTCCTCCACCTCCACCTCCACCCCCTCCTCCACCACCCCCTCCTTCTCCGCCTCCGCCACCAATCGCTTTTATACCACCAACTCAAATCCAGTCAAATACAAGCAACTTAGTTTCCAATGCATCCCAAGTTGATCCCAGCCACCTATTAATTCAAAACTCCATATTATGTACACAAGAGAACCCGCTTCACTCACAAAGTATGTGCTCAGTACCTGAAAATCAGGGGGCTCCACAGAGTTCTTGGTCTTCATTCGAAAATTCCAGGGTCTCGCATAATTCGTGGTCTACGAATAGCGGTCAAGCATATTCACAGAATTTGTGTACAGCACCTGGATATCATGGTCCTCCTCAAAGTGCTTGGCCATCCTTTAATAATCATGAGCGTTCCCAAAATGCCTGGCCTTCACAAGCAAGTTTACAAGGCAAATGGTCGGCACATGAAAGTCACTCTTATGGCAACCAAGTTCCACAGGGATATGGTAATACCATTTCCCTGCCAGGTCCTTCGTCTCAATATTATGAGCATAATCACCATCAAATCAATTATCCTCCCAGTGAAAATTCAAACAATCCTGGTTTACATTGTAAGTCTTATGAGGAACAGTATTGCAATGTGGGGAGTGGCCATACGGGTCAAAACACTCGCTATCAAAAGAGATGGACTCAAAATGATCAGTGCGATTGCGATTATGGTTCTCACGCTTCAGAAGTTTATGATTATAACCATTCTTACTCTCTTGAAAGGTCATTTAACTCGTCAGCTGTTAGACCGACTAATCCTTATAACCATCCCTATCCACGTTCTAACCAAAATAATCGTCACATGTGGCATAGAAATCCCGAGTCTTTCCAACCCGTAGAAAGCTTTCCTCCACCTGAGCAATTCAACGATATGCACCTTCACCGTCCAAGTTATCAATATCAAGTGAGAGTTGTGGGTTTACTAGTTTATGGGTTTTAAAGAATTTCGTTTTTAAGTGTCCTATGTGCTTGAATATTTCTTTGAATTCAACCATTATTATTTTAGAAAGATATCCTCTTTAACATCGCTCATCAATTTGTAACTAATGTACTATAGATACATTATCTTATATGGTAAGTTCAGTTTGTCGGTTAAAACTTTATTGTCGTCAGGAATATTGGAGCTTACTTTGAGGATCTTGTTAACTATACGTTCAAACCTAGTTGTATTATGAGGGTTAATGATTTGATGCTCTTTTTTGTTTAGGGAAATCACTACTTAAGAAACATGGATGTTTAGTATTTTAATTATTTAATGAATTAATCATGTCCAAGTGTAGACCATCTAACTGTAGCACGTTGTGAGCAATGAAACTACAGAATTTTAAGCATATTACATTATTTTTAGAAATTCATTGTTTGTAAATATTGCTTCTTGAAGTAAGATGGTAAAAAGAGCTAACATTCCTCTTTACTTTTGTGCAGGATGAACCTAAATATATTCCTCTCAGTGAAGATACATCGGTGAGTGAAGGTAATCAATTCCGTGGATGTCATGATCACGACTACCGCATAACAATACAGAGTCCTACAGTTCCGTCTGGTAGTATGGAAGAAAATTGGAAAGATGTGGATACTCGTCCTATTCTGCCTAGCGACAGTGGTCACACAAGCCCGGCAATATTTCCGTCGGCTATTACAAATAAAGCCTTGGCTGATCCCAGACCGATTTCGCTTATCCCAACTCCCATTATTGAATCTTCGTGTAAGCCCAGAGGTCGTATCGCACATCTGCCTGTTCCGGAACACCTAATGACAGCTTTCGGTGGGCCCTCATAATATCTTTTTTGTTCACACTTGATGTCTTTAATGTATTGATTTTTTGTCTCATTTGAAAGTATCGCAACATACTGCTTAGCAGAATTATATTCTTTATGAGATCCTACTTCGCGACTGACTATGTAAGTTTGATCTTTCGATTAGGACTCCCTCGTTATACTATACAGTTTGTTGGAATGTTCTATGAGTAGATAAGAAAATTTGTTGAGGTTGGTTTATTTTGGAACCAAATATCCTAAACTCTCGTGTTTGTGGGCAAAGTATGAATGAGTTCATAATTTCCGTTGTCTAATAATTAAGTCAGTCAGTCGTAATGTAGAACCCAGTACGTCTGTATATCTTTTCAAGTTACCGCACTCCATTAGCGCAGAAAAATGAAATTCTCAGATCAAATCCCAGTATTCGTAGTAATCGAACAGGTTAAGCATCAAAGGCACAGTTTAAAAAAAATAGTGAAATGACACAATAGAATTTCAGAATTCTGGAAAGACAGAGAATATATGTATCTGTCATTGCAAACGATTTTGAACTATGTCATTCAAAGTCTATAACCATTAATTACGGTATTCACGCGGATCCCAACCAAGTGGTGTACATATGAGTCAATCCACTTGTCAGTGTCTTCATGAACTGATTATAATTCAAAAACCGTGTTAGTATATGCTTAGTATGATAAAATTCTCTTCATATTTCAACCTAGTTTTATTGTAGCTAAAAGTGATGCCGTTCAACGATTTTAAGCTTCACTTCACTCTAACAGGTTCTTAATCATTGGAAACTGGCAGACCTTTCTATAATTTGAAAATAACAGGCTTTTTGGTTTATAAATTATACATTTATAGGAAATATTCTAGTACAATTTGTATACTAGAGTTATGCATAGCATCAATGAATGGTGATGCTATAATTAAATTAAGAGTAGATTGCATAATCAGTGAGTAAATGAACAAATCTGCGTTTGATAAAAGCAAACTAACATTACTTGCGATTCGTTACTCGTCAGTTTGATAATCCCGTTTTTAATTATCCGGGTTTTCTCGGTCATTATTTTACAATTTAAAACACTGTCCAGAGGAAGCTGTGGCAAGCACTGGAGTTTGGCCTCCAAAGAATTTAGAACCAGAACAAACCGGAGGTGGTAATACCAAACCTCGTGCTCTCCCCGCATGGCTTCGTGATGAATTAGAGAAATTGGAAAAGAAAAAAGCTAAAGAACTGGCCGCTGTATCTGGAGCTACTGGTTAGTCTAGTTGTGTTTACAGTAGTCATGCTCAAGTTTTTGAATGCTTGAAACTATATAGAGTTTACATAGGGATAAGCTTTTACCTGCATTTTGAGTAAGACCTTTAGGTCAAAGGCTCGGGGTGCGGCCCCCTAAGAAAACCACCTGCTTCGGTCTGGGCACTCGAGCAGTATCACAGCCCACACAAATAAAATGAAAATGACTATATTATTAATATTAATTATTTTGTTATTTACCGTCAATTATTCACTCTCCTTTATTCCCACTTTGTGTATCTTTATTTTTCGACTTCTACATCAGCTCTCTTATAGTGGAAACTCGGTTCTATCTAAACGTTTTCGAGTCACTGCCTGGTTGAAAATTGTATGCTACCACCAAATACCAATACTGAAGCAGTTTTTCTGAAACCACGTGCAACATTCGAACTGGCTGACTTCAACGTTCACATACTTATACAGGTCGGAAAATAGATAGGGTTGGCTATGTCTTCAGAAAATTCTAATATCAACGTTCGTTGTCTATCCGAGAACCGTAATCAAGACTCTGGTGAAGAACTACAAATTCGCTCTCCATCTGTCGCTTCCAAAAGCTTGTTTCACGTGCGCTTATCCGGGGACCCTGTGGCATCTTCGTCTGTTCTTGCTGGTATTGGTGTCGCACTAAGTGCTAGAGCTGAGGTAGCACTAATCTATTGGATCCCCATTAACATTCGGTTATGCGCTGTTAGATTAGAAAGCTACGTCAAAGTGTGAGGAAAGTGGTTTGAGAAACGGTGTCTTTTCTTCATCTCCGCCTGTGCTCCGACGGATTGCAGCCTGGATGCAAACAAGGATAAATTTTACCACCAGTTAACTGTTCTTCTACAGAAAGTGCGTTCGACAGATATTGTAGTACTAGCCGGAGACTTGAACGCTCAGGTCAGGCGAATAGACACAGAAGAGAGTCGTTCAGGTGGCTGGTGAGAACTTGTTGGTCACAGGTCAGATAACGGGGACCGTCTACTGCAACATAGTGCAGACTACAACCTGTTTGTGGCTGGCAGTAACTATCGGCATAGTCATCGCCGATGTGATATCTGGAGTCCTCCCTCTGAATCTCAATCCTAGACTAAGATTGGTCACATCACGATTAGCTACCACTGGCGTGGTTGTGTACAGACTGCCGCTCCTTTTGGAGTACCTATCTGGATTCTGATCATGCCCTTGTTTGCGCCAATCTTACCTTTTCAGTTGACAGCAAATTCATTGCCCTAAACGGATTGATGTCAGTAAATTGATCGCAGCTTCTTTTGCAACGGGTGACCGTGAGTTTGGCCTCAAACGAAGGATGTTACGCAATGAAATTGGACAAAGCTTGCGTAAAGACCGAGAAGCCTGTTGATCGGAGCGTGCTAATTAGTTGGAAGCAACAGCTGCATCTGGTAACTGCCGGAAGCTCTTTCAACTCATCCGAGCCATTAGAAGCAAGAAGTCTAGCGTGGGCGAAACAATCTGTGAGGATGACGGGATGCCAATCACTAACATCCATCGGGGTCTTAGACGATGGGCAGAGTTCTTCGAAGGGCAGTTCAACTGGTCCGCTGCTCCGACAACATCAATCAGATTATTGGCTTCCATCATACTTCGTAGGTTGTTCAAAAACCGAGAAAGATTGACTCGCGAGGAGCAGGCTGGTTTTTATTCTGGTCGAGGATGTATTGATTATATCTTCACCCTCCGCCAAATGTTAGAACACCATCATACTTATCACAGGCCAACAATCGTAATGTTTCTTAACATTAGGACTGCCTTCGATTCGTTGGACAGGACTGTTCTCTGGGATTGTCTATTGAAGAAGGGTGTGCCTGAGAGGTTTATCAACATCCTGAAGGCTCTATATACGAATACCTCAGGCAAAGTGAGGGCATACAACCACCCCTCTCCATTATTCCATTCGAGCAGTGGGGTTAGACAGGGTTGCTCAATCTCATCATTCCTCTTCAACTTTGCCATCGATGACATTCTGGAAACAGCTCTGATGGATGTAAGTAATGATGGCGTGGATCTGTTGCCTGGAGAAAGACTTCTCGACCTTGAGTATGCGGATGATATTGTCTTACTGTGTGATGATGCCCAAGCCATGCAATCCGCACTTAATCAGTTGGCATTCAGTGTTCGTAGGTACGGTATGTGCTTATCACCTTCGAAGTGCAAAGTACTCCTACAAGACTGGCAGGATTCTAATTCTGTACTCACCCTGGATGGTGAGCAGATAGACGTTGTCGAGAAGTTCGTGTATCTGGGTAGCTGCATAAGTGCTGGTGGGGGTGTGAGTGATGAGACCAATGCACGTATAGTGAAAGCCAGAGCGGCTTATGCCAATCTAGGCCATCTTTGGCGCCTTCGTGATGTCAGTCTTTCTGTAATAGTTTGGATCTACAACGCGTCGGTAAGAGCATTTTGATCTATGCTTGTGAAACCTGGTCTCTCCGAGTTGTTGATATTAGACGACTGTGTTTGATCTTCGTTGTCTCCGAAGGATTGTTGACAGCCATTGGCAGCGTCATGTTAATAATGCATAGGTGTGGCATCGTGCGTCCGGGCATAGCGACGATAATTCATTTGAAGTCATCATCTTGAAACATCGACTTCGATGGCTTGAACACGTCTTATGAATGTCGTCGCAGAGAATTCCTCGTCGTGCATTATTTGCCGACACTTGGACCGATTGGAAAAGTGGAAAGGTGGTCATTGTATGACATGGTGTCGGGGTATGAAAGGAAGCTGTACAGGACTGGTTTGTGTCGATCCTTCAGTATCCCTGGTTGGCGTCCAAGAGATGGGGCAACACAGTGGTTAGAGACATTGCCTGGGATGGCTAGGTATAGAAGCCAATGATGATCGTGCTGTAACCCTTCACTTTTTTTTCATTACAATAATTCATTTGAAGTCATCATCTTGAAACATCGACTTCGATGGCTTGAACACGTCTTATGAATGTCGTCGCAGAGAATCCCACGTCGTGCACTATCTGCCGACGCTGGGAAAAAGCGGAGAAGTGGTCATTGTATGACATGGTGTCGGGGTATGAAAAAAAGCTGAAAAGGGCTGGCTTGTGTTCACGATTCCGTGGCTGGGGTCCGAGAGATGGTGCAACACAGTGGCTGGAGACGTTATTAGATATGGCTCAGAACAGAAGCCAGTGGCGATCCTGCTGTGAGCTTCCTTTATTTTCTTCATAAAAAGTGGTTGTATCTTGCTTAACTGAAAGATTTGTTTTGGTTGCACCATTCCGTTTCCTCCATTATTATTATTTGTTATATCTTGAAGGTTGTTCTTGATATACCGCGTATAACGTGAGCGCTAGAACGCCAGAACCCTTCCAAGTCGCAATGCGAAGACAGAAGACTAATGAAAGGAATATTATTCCCGGGCAGTGTCACTTATAGTACGAAATTGTCAGGTTATTCGCATTGTCCAATCTAGAAGCTACACGTAGGAATTCTAAAATATTCTTCCAGAAGGTGATTGGATGGAATATCTTCGGCTCCTTCCGAGCCTCCTACAGCTTCTTCGAGTTCACCCTTGGTCCGTCGTCACATTATTATTATTATTATTATTATTATTATTATTATTATCACACTACCTTACACTAATCTGGTCGTTTTTCTTTTTTTTCTTTTACGCTCCTTACCTTTTTCTCTTCCAATTTTCATTGTTTTGTGTGGCCACCAAATGCCCTGGTACGGCCGAAAGTGTGGAGAGTCCGCTCTCTCTCTCTCAAAATGCGCATATAGCCTTTGCCAAGGAAGTCCTATTCATTGCTTTCTCGTGACGGGGGTGTTGTTTACGAAATTAAGAGGACGAAAAGCGGATGTCCGGCGCTTTATCGGATTGGTGGACATGGAGAGTCCACATAGGGGAATTGGAAAACTCTGATTCCAAACCAATGGTGCACATGAGCTCCAGTATCCTGAAGAAACAAATGGCTTATGGACCAATCGTTGGTCACCGGCTACTGTGGGACTGTATCTCCTTACGATGCGCCGCTGCCTTGTGGATCAAACCTTCAGGTCAAAGGCTCGGGGTGTGGCCCTCTAAGAAAAACACCTGCTTCTGTTTGGGCACCTGGGCAGTACCACAGACCTCACACATATCAAATGAGATTTGTGTGGCGTATATATATTCGGTGCCCCCTTGTGCCAATATTTATGTGTTCTAATAAAATAATAAATAAAAAAACTTTACATGTCGAAGTGTTTACATCCTCATTCAAACCTGAATTATCTTGATAGGTTAAATTAGTTAGCGGTTCGGTTGTTCGGTCCTTTCATTTGATTACATTTGATTTATGTGCAACTTTATTCATCCATAAACATTTCATGGTATTTTGGGTTTAGCATAAAAAATAACTAGATATTTCCATGTAGTCAAGTTTAACTGCTTCGTCCACCAGTATAGATTTATTTGTTATTTATCGCTCATATCCTTTTACAGAAATGACTGAAAAAAACTCTTTAGGAGTTCCTGACAATCGTTTACTCCGTATGAATAAACGATTCTCTCGTAGTGGCTGTTTACTTGGAACAATTTTAACGAGTTAGTCATTATAAATCCCTTGAGTTCGTTAAATGTACTTCATTTATCTACGCAATTTCTGATTTCTAATCCGGTGCTACACAGCCACAGAGAATTTGTTCTTATCCTATTTTGAGTTGACATTCCAAGGCCTGTTCACCATAATGCTCGAAGTTTTTTCATTTGTTCAGTACTGATTTCGAAGCATCCACCCAGTTGTTTTCTGGGTGTTGTCCTCTGCATAATAATGAGAATCATCACATCTTGGGCCGTCCACGATAAATTATTCAGAATACTGCGATAAGCATGATTATTTCGATCACTGTTAAATATTATTTTGTTCAGTTCCAGGATAATGCGCATTTTTGGTTGTTACTTTATACTACGACAAAACCGGTGTTAAAATGCCTTAGAGAACACTGGTTTGGTCGTTTACTATTTATTTTCCGAATATGTTACCAAATTCTGTCAGTCAAGATCATAATTGATGTTCAATACGTGACGTTAAAATTACCTCAAAGCTTTATCCCTATCTTAAGTTTTAGGGGCTGCTCCTGATGCTAAAAGGGATGATGAAGGTGATATCGTTATGGAGGATGAAGCTAAAACTGATGCCCAAACACTAAAATCTCTATTGAACAATAATGAGGAATCAGATAGTGATGTCAAGGAACAGGGAAGTCCTTTTGATGTCTTAATTAATCCTGTTGGTGACCTCCGATCCCCGTTTTCATCTCGAAGTCAACCTCCCGCGGAATCAGAGGAAATCTCAAACCCTGAAACTGCGGTAAAACAACTAACTACAGATAATTCTCAAAATATTTTACCCAACACTCCTGCATCATTAACGGTAAGCTCATTGAAGCTCGTAAGCAAATTTCAGTGCTTAATCGTCAAGCTACTGTATGGTGATTTGACTTCTCGTAGCTATATTCCACATTTGAACCAAAAGTCCCAGATATTCCATTAATGCATTCGTTTGACACTTTCATCAAATCGCTTCATTGTATTGAGAAGAGTAGGATTTGAAGCAATTTAATGCTTTTTAGTTTATGAGATTTTAAAAGGGAAGTTTTTAGAAAGTATCAGGTAAAGCTAGCTGAACTTTCCAAAGACTAACTATTGTATTGTCTAGCGCTTTGAACAATTGACGCATATTGTCATTAAATATGACTTTATTGAATTCGATGCTACCTCACACTCATTCTCTGCCACATGTTTGATATGTATTTGGTTTTGCGAATGTTGGAACTGCCGTATTCGGACTGGTGCACAACAGCCTACACATCTGCTATCCCTTCAAGAATTTCATGAGTTGTTCGCTTCACTATCGGACGAAGAACAAAGGATTGAAACGGTAAGAAAATATTGTATCCAATATATTTTCCCAAACTCAAGTAAATATTTTTTTGGTTTTCTGGATATTTCTTACTTGAAATATCGAAGGTTGACATTAACTAATCAATTACCAAGCTTATGACTTTCATAACGAACTTATTAAAATGTATTTTTTCTAACGTAGTAGTAATTGTTTGTGCTGATCGGAATTTTTTCCAACCTAAAAAGTAGTTAAAAACACGACGTTGGTGAACTTGTATACAAATCGGTTGCTCCACTTTTAACAACTGTGGTGTCACATAATAGGTGTAGCTCATATTCTAGTACATCAGTTAATATTTATATTTACTTTGATTTTATCCAGCTTAATCTTTAGTATTGTATTCAATTATGTTCTGTGAGCAAGTTTTTTTTTGAATTGCTTGGAATGGTTCATTTGGTCATTGTGATTTCACTAAATGTGATCACCATAAAGCTTTAGACCTAGTTACTCGTAAGGAATACACATTTGCTGATACTCCTAGAAAACCAAACCTCCATCGCTGTTTCATAATCAAAGACACTAATTGATCAGTACTTAGGACCAGGTAGACATGGAATTGAAAATTTGTCAGTGATCTGTGAATCGCTATCAAACACTGCGACGTTAGAAGCAAGTTGTTTTTTGTGCTAGTAATGTCGTTTCTATGATAGTGGTTGTTCTTACTCTAAAATTTCAACTGTCAATCAACACAATCCAGCTGTTCTTTTGGATCTCTGAAAGTTTGAGCAGCCAAATAAATACCATTATTTCTCAGACAATATACCTGTTCTAGGCTAGTGATTAAGTATGCCTAGATTATCAAGATGGTGGTATAGTTGTTCTTCACATAACTAGGTTTATAAGTAAAGAATATTAGCCGTGAATAATATCTGTTTACGATCTAATGTTCTTTCCGAAACAAGACTTAATATATTTGATTAATCAGTAAATTTCATCCGGTTTTACAGGCTCGTTTTATTACCCGAACGCTGACAGAGGCTCTACTGGCTGTTACAACTGAACTCATTGACACCATAGTAGAAGAAGTAATGACAGAAGCGGTTTCAGGAAAATCGCATGTTCTACCATTGGAAGACTCTTCATCTGTTGAGATAAAATCCCCAATTCTAGGTAATTGGATAGCATTTGTTTTTTTGTTCTTTGTGTAACTAGTTTGATTTGTTATATTTAATCACAACTTAATTGTTTGGAACACTTATATGGTCCCAATTATTAACTAAGTAACATGTTCTATGGGTTGAATTGAGCTATTATTCACCTCAGTGATTCATCGCCTGAGATTTTGTATTTGTATTTTACTTCATATTTAACCAGCAGTATTTGGGAATGCAAACGCTTATCTGTTTTTTAGTTATTTTTTGTCAAGGTTTCTTAAGCGCTACTTAACAGACATATTATTTAGCGTAGTGAGTGAGAAGGCTAGACTCTCAGATCCTAATCAATACAAACAAGGATGTTTGACACTTCGGCTTCAGCTAAGTATTTTTATGATTATGTAGTGTGCTAATAACTCACATACCACGTTTACTTTATATTGTCACATGAACTGGTGTTTATATGAAAAAACCACTGCTGTAACTAATGCACACACGATGTACAACATAGTATGATTGCGTATCGGTTCAAGTTATTAAACTATTCATCGTAACGTCGAAAGCTTATAAAAAGTGGGAAAACGAGGGCAATGAGATTTGTGGTATTCATAGTGGTGAAGATTTAAGTGAAAATAATGTTGATAGAGGTTTTAAGTCGTACTAGAGATCGATGTATGAAAATTCTAAATAACTCAATGTTCACGATTTAAAAATAATTAAATAATGCATCCTCACCTTTTTGAGCTATGTCGAATAATGTTCTATGTGAAAAGCTACGGATTTTCGTTTAATAATCAAAGCTACGTGTTCTGCGTTATGTAACATCTAACTGGTTTCTCCGGTTTGATACAATTTACTAAATGGCAATATTGCCGGTAATTTGTACTGTCTAACGTATTACCGATTTACAACCATATGTGATGGTAGAAATTACATTATGGGTATTATACTGTGGCCCATGTGACCGGGCTGTAACTTTAGAAGAATTGTTGTATAATTTCTCTGGTTCGATCAATTATTTTCCCCATGTTCCTACGGAAAGATCGGTAACTTGTTTACCTACAAACATCGATTAATGAGGAATAACCAAAAACTTAACACTTACTGGCTCTTGAGCTCTTACTGACCTGGCATCCAACCAGAGGATAAAAGCAAGTAGCAGGTCAGTTCTCTGTTGTATTTTATTTAATCATGACTCGAATCTCATAGAATGATATACCTGAAATGATTGACAACACGGTAACACGAGAGAGCATAGTTATCAGGGAGCATCCAGGCTTTTAATCATGTAGTTATGTCATTTCTCAAGTCGCTGTCTACACAGCATTGATTATAGTGAAAGGACTATTAAGCAAACTCTGCTTTTGATAATATTGAGTATTTAATTGTCAAATTTTAAAAAGCAAATTCAATAATCCCTATTATTTTGCAACTTTTTACAGGGTTAGTCTCTTATAATAGTGAAAGTGAGTCAGAATCTGAGCGAAACGTGCTGGAAAGTAAACTAGCCACAAGTAATATATCAGGTATACTACCAGGTGATGTTCCTGATGATGTAAAGCATGATTATGCATCACAGAATAGTCCTAGTAATGACAGTAAGTTTATATAAATAATGAGGTAACTTTTTATATTCGTCCGTGAATCTTAGAAACCGTTGATGAAAATCGCTGGATCATGGGTGTCTCTGTAAATTCTATGCAGTCGATCATCTCTCCTACATCTCCAAAACTTAGTTGATGGTGATATCTCTTTCTGTCGACCCTTAATTCATTTTTTCCTCACACAACATGTTCGATTGTGTATGTATTTCGCACTACTGTGTCTCATTATTTTGATAATGAATGAAACCTTTGAAAAACATTGTCTCTTGCGCCAGCTTTATTTATAAGTGTACATTTGTGATTTTGATGGAGTTTTGTTCTCTGAGCTGAATGTTTGGTCGTGGAGCTTTCATCGTTCTTCTGAACGACATCATCAGCAAAAACTCCAGATAGAAGTGAAGTGTTTGAATTTCTCCATACATTTGTGATCTTTGTTATCTGCAAAACCATGGCTCTCATACTTATGCTTCAAATTCAAGTGTTAATCAGCTTTCGTGGATCGTGGGTGCAATAAAATGATTTCAAGTAGGCCTTTTTTTCTTCCTGGAATTGTTTTGCGTAGTTCGACATTATGTTCAATAGAAATCTAATAACTTAATGTAGTGATCATCTAAGTCAATCACTATGATCGTTGAGTATAGATTTTTGTGGCTTAATAATGATCGATGAATTCATGGGGTATTTGGAGTACTCTGTATATTTCTAATAATTTCATGTCTGCAAATCGTGATCCGCTCTACTGTTTGATATAGCGTCTAATCGACTTTAATATCGTAAGAAAACTTAGTTATTCTACAGCTTAACCGATGCTTTAGGTTTTTTATCTTTTCTTTCAAAATGTCACTTAACACAGGCTTGTCGTGGTGCTGTTATCGTGAATTAAATGGATTCAGTTCTTTTAAAGTGTAATACTTTGACGTTAATACTTAGTGCTATCAATGTGCCGAACACTAATCTAGGAACTTGTGAAAAATAATTGCACGCACGCTATGTAGTGCCAAAGTAAAACACCTTTTACTTATCGAGACTAATTAACTTATTGTCATCACATAAATTCGACAGTAACTAAGATAAACATCAGTTTGTCTTTGATTGTGTATGTTTTCTAGTGGTTGTTTCAACGAAATATGCATTTTGAGAAAACTTATGACATAAAGATTCTATCAAAATATTCATCTGTTACATGGTTTTTCTCTATATTAATTTTGTAATTATGAGCTTGGAATACAGCTGTATGTCGTATTCTTTTTATTCCGTATGACTTCTAGTAGATATTTGTAGCCAACTTTCCTACAAATTTCTATTTCCTTCGCTGAATGTAATCAGTAGACTACGTTTTTTCTGCTCATATCAACTGGTGAATTTAAAAAGCAAGGAAATTGTGAAAATTCATGTTCGCAATAGTTACAGTCAATAAGTACTGGTTCTGCGTTTTTCGAAGTCCTTATAATTTGTTTTACCTTCCAGATAATAAAATTGTCACTGGAAATGGGAAATTTCAAACTGTACAAGAAAAGTATTATGAAAAGCAATCTTATTCTTCCAGCATTCTTCAGAAATCTAAACGCCATAAAAATGAAAAAGAAACGGATACGGCCGTCACAATTTCACGTTCGCATTCCAAACATTCACATAAAAGGAAAACGAATTCACGGCATTCCCATCGTAGTCGTAAGAGGGATTTTCGTGATTCGTCAACAGCTTCTTCAGAATCTCCAAGTTCGAATCATGGGAACCAAAACGTAGGAATCTCTCGATTCAGTCGATCCTCAGAAGATCACAGTGGTAATGTTCGGTCACCAAAACCTTATTTTACGAAGTCCAGTCATTCGAAACATTCTCATCATAAAAGTCATCATTAGATTTGTACACTTTCCTGTACTAAGTGTTAACCTGTCTTCAGTTTGCACTTATAATCCTTAGTTCACAAGTGAGATTTCAGACAGGTAATTTAATCATTTGGTAAGTGAATTTTATGACTTTCAAATCAAACCTATTTCCTCATGATTGACTTAACAATAGTAACGTGGTATTTTATTCATCTTTTGATTCGGCAGTACAAAGTTACTGCATTAACTGTAAGATACAGTGGATCTGAATTTATATATCAGTCCACAGTACGCACTTTTGGAAAGCAACATTATACGCTTCATTTTGAGTTAGCATACAATATGTATTCAGACTTATGGTGTTTGTTGTTTGGTTTAAAAGAAATGTTTAAGTTCTAGACACATACTTTTTTTTGCTACAGTCCTTACACACGTTATTGTTCTATTTAATCTTCGTCTTCTCAACTATATTTCCCTGACAATTTTATTCTCGACACTTCCTTGCAAATGTTCTCAATGTCCTCAAACTGATGATCTCATACAGGTCTCCGTGTCCCGGTATTGAATAATGCTACCACTACAATTAGATAGAGTATTGTACAGTTACTCTTACGTTTATCCGCCTTTTTACTTATCATTATTCTGTTCAACTTACTGACACAATACTCCAAGTAAATCTTAAAACAGAGTAGCTATTTTTTGAAATTTATTGATTTCAACCTTCTTTCAATCAGTAATTTGCTTTCCCGATTTATCGTCGAATTTGTCTTTGCTTTTCAGGTATGGAAATATTCGGTTTCCCAACAGTACAACTGTTAATATGATTTTAATTTCTTTTTCATATAAATATGTGTACAAAGTACGAATCATTTGTCTACTTAAAAATAATCTACTGCCAGTTTCCATCTTATTATTATTTATTTCAACACATAGATATTGGTACAAAGAGGCACCAAATACATATGCGCCACACAAATCTCATTCGATGTGTGTGAGGGCTGTGATACTGCCCGGGTGCCCAAACAGAAGCAGGTGTTTTTCTTAGAGGGTCACACCCCGAGCCTTCGACCTGAGGGTCTGATCCACAAGGCAGTGGAGCATCGTAAGGAGATGCAGTCCCATGGACGCCGGTGACCAACAATTGGTTCATACGCTATATGTTCCCGCAGGATACTGGAGCCCATGTGCACCATTGGTTTGGAATCCGGTTAAACCACCGGACATTCGCTTTTTGTCCTCTCATTTTCGTAAACAACACCCCCGCCACGAGAAGGCGTTGAGTAGGACTTCCCTGGCAGAGGTTATATACGCGTGGCCATTTGAGAGCATTTCTAGAGGGAGAGCGGACTCTCCCCACTCTCGGCCATACCAGAGCATTTGGGGGGCATTATTTGTCTTACTGATTGTGCTAGCTTTAGTCGTAACGTGAACAACATCGATTTTCGAATTATTTTTAACTTTGAAAGTATACAAACATAATTCAGTTGTTAGTCACGCAGATTGTCTCGAATGTGTAAAGTATAATCATATTTGATAATTAATGACGTTGCATCAATTTCCAGCTTTAGGTCATAGGTTTGTATATTAAGTTGTTGGTGATCAAGTACTTGAAATTCTGGTTCAGCTCCTCTTTTTTTAATAACGTTTTAAGAACGCAAATGCTTTTTTTCGTGGTGTCTTAACATTTCTTGAGTCTTTAAATGAATAGGAAGGTTCGAATAGATAAAAAGACTTTAAATCCACACAATTCGCATAAACTTACTAATGTTCGTGCGAGTTAAATACGATTCGCCATAAAGTTTTGGAACTACCAGAATAATAGTGTAAAAATGATTCATACTCAGACAATCAAGTCGTTTTGTTCTAATAAGTGTTTAGTGTTCAGGAAAACTAATCATTTATGACATAATAAGGGAAACAAATAATAACTTTTCGTTTCCCCATAAAAGTTAAAGCATTTCTGTTTTGTATGTAAATTGTTCAAATAAATAGATACATTGCCAATTAATAAATGAAATGCATTGATTTGATGTGGCCAAATGATCTCTTATGTGAGCAAATACGGACAATAACCCCCTTATGTACTAAAGTTATAAGGAGTCTTCAAGGCGGAAAAATAGGTATTTACAATACAGTTACTTGTTATGTACAAAAAATAAAGTACAAATGAACCATATTAAAACCTAAGCCAAACATGAACGATTAAAATATACCGGTTCAATTCACCCGAAGCCAAACGAAATCATATATATTATCAACATTCAAAATGTATAGGTTAATAAAGGGCAACCAAAATTATTTTTTCTGCGAGATTTACGGACTCTCCACCTTCAACACACTAACATCAGGTGAAATTAAGGTATCGATCCTATGGCTGGTAAACATGAGATTCTTCGTGAAACGAATCCTTGTTTGTGTAATCCTTAACCGTGCTGGTTTTTATAATCATACACTAATCTAGCTTGAATTAGATGCGGTTATTGAAGTAGTCTTGGTCGATAGCCAAACTTCAAATTTGATCGTTGGATAAAGCTGTAAGATTCATGCTGCTTGTAGTGAAGGAGAACACAGGTGAGGACAACCAAATTGTATTCAGCACAAATTAGAGAGTTACTTGGTAAAATAGAAAAACCATATAGTAAACCGTTAATTTGCAAAATATCATTCCATCATATAAAACCGGACTGTTGCTGTTGCAAGCATCAATCTATTGTCTCACATTTCATTGTTCATCCGATTTCTTACAAATTCCATTGTGCTCTCACCCTTCCTTTCTTGATCTTCCCCATCTTCTGCTGCCAGATATTACGTTCCTTTAACTCACGTTATATACTACTTATATCGATATAAGTAGCACGCACCATATGCTCTGCAAGGAGTTCGTAAATCGAACGGAAACCGTATATCTGTCAGTAATTAACACTAAGTTTAATCGCTCATCGGAGGACGACATCTTTCAAACAAGGTGTGATAGATCATAATGATTTTCTTCGAAATGACTACTAAACAGCTTGAGTTAAATCAAGATGAATCGCCCTCAGTTCGCACTGCAATTTCGGATCTTGTGTATCCGACGGATTAATTTACCACGATAAATTCCTGAAACACATCAATGTTGCCTAAGTAGTGACCGATTTTGTTGAGTCTCACGTCGGTACTGATGCACTTTTCGAATTAGTTTCTACGCATGAGAACATGTTAGTGACTGGATATTTGCTGTGTTTAAAATGTCTCAAGGTGACCACAAATAAAGATTGTCGGAGTAATACTAAATTCTGTATTGTTGAGTATTACCAATGTACTACAGACCAGCGACCGTAAGGCCGTCTACTGATTTTTAAGTTCCTTTCCAAAAACGACTATCACGAGATAAACGCAATATTCGTATTGAAACGGTTTTGATTGTTCCGCTTACTACAATAGTAGTACATCTCCACACAAATCTGAGTCAACTAATTTGGATATATGATAGCGAAACCATTAGACAAATCAGGGTGCCGTTTTAATATTATTAAGTTCTTATTGAATTGTGTTCCAACTAAATGGATTCGAATAGCCTTATTCTCTGATGAAATTTTAAGAGAGATATCGACTAAATCTGTATTGGACAGAAATCTTTTAAGAGTAACTTTTATTACTGACTTTTAAAAAGTTGTGGGACTGGGTGTGTTAGCAGAAGTTTCATATAAAAGAAATTGAAATTTATTAAGTTATTGGTTGTGCAAGAGTTATTTACAAATAAAAAACAAACGGTAGTACACGGGTCAAAAAAGTAATTATTTAAGCACATCAAACTCATCTTCTTCAAATGCTTTGCGCGCACGTCGGAGCTCTTCACTGAGCAAGAGCAGCTCTTTCACTCGAGAAAATTTCTTAGGATCACGCCGAACGAGATAAGTAACATCTTCGACAGATATTTTCCCTGGTTTACCAATTTTTAATGCTTTTTTAGCCTAAATTTATTAGAAAGAGTATTTTTCAAAAAGGAGAAACTATCGTGTGATCACCCTAAAAATTATTGCGAAAAATAAGATTTTCAAAATCCCAGTGTACAAATCTAACAGACAGTAAGACTCGTAAAATTAGCGCGAAAACCAGCCGGTGTCGATGATCTTGCCATCAGTGTATCCACGGAGTTGACATTGCCCAAAAGAGAATTAAATTGATATATCTAAATTTCAATGAATCCTTAGCTTATACTGTGTAGTTTCACGCAAACGTTTTCTGCTCATATTCACAAAAACCATCATAGGTAAAAGATACAACCATTTGAGATTTAACTGATTTCATTCGTAAATATTTGTAAAGAACAACACATGTAGCTCTTCTACTACCGGTCTCAAGCCCGGGAAAGGAGGAGGGTTCGGCAACCCCATCCCGTAGACAAAAATCTTGCTAAAAAGAACGCCAATCACATTAAATCATTTAAACTCTGTCCAGGGAGTTGAAGGGAAAATTATAACACCTCATGAGGAAAGCCGAGATTCTTCGGAAGTCACGAGGCCAATGCCCCTTCTGACAACCAGAGCAACAATTGTTATGTCCGGATAATGTGAGACCGGAAAGACCAGTCAAATTGCAACGGAAATGGAAATAAAACTTGACGGTTCTCGGAATCAGCGAAACCCAATGTGGACTAGATACGGGAGAGGTGTTCCTATACTCCGGTCACGAAGAGGGAAATGCTCCACATACATTGTGGAAACTTCTTCGACACTATGGAGTTCCTGAGAAGATTGTCAACATTATCCGCAACTCATACGACGGATTACGGTGCAAAGTCGTGCATGGAGGATAGCTAACAGAAGCATTCCAAGTAAGTGTCGGAGTCAGACAAGGCTGTCTACTCTCCCCCTTCCTTTTTCTTCTGGTGGTCGACCGGATTATGAAGACCTCAACATCTGAAGGAAAACACGGAATACGGTGGACAGCTCAGAACCAATTAGACGATTTGAACTTCGCAGATGACCTAGCCCTCCTATCGCATACACACGAAGAAATGCAGATGAAGACAACTAGTGTAGCAGCAGCATTTGCATCAGGAGGCCTCAACATATACAAAGGGAAATGCAAGATCCTCAAATACAACACGGATAACACCAACACAATCACACTTGAGGAAGAAACTCTGGAAGATTTGCAATCCTTCACGTACCTGGGAAGCATCATTGATGATAAAGGAGGATCGGATGCAGACATAAAAGGTAGGATTGGTAAAGGAAGAGCCACATTCCTACAATTGAAGAATGTATGGAACTCAAGACAATTTTCAAGCAATATCAAAGTCAAAATCTTCAATACAAACGTCAAGACAGTTTTACTATACAGAGCTGAAACTTGGAGAACTGCTGCAACCATTATAAAAAAAGTACAAGTATTCATAATTAGTTATCTATGCAAGATACTCAACATCCATTGGCCGGATACTATCAGCAACAGCCTGCTGTGGGAGAGAACAAACCAGCTTCTAGCTAAAGAGGAAAATACGTTGGAAGTGGATAGGATATACATTACGGCTCGTTTTATTACCCGAACGCTGACAGAGGCTCTACTGGCTGTTACAACTGAACTCATTGACACCATAGTAGAAGAAGTAATGACAGAAGCGGTTTCAGGAAAATCGCATGTTCTACCATTGGAAGACTCTTCATCTGTTGAGATAAAATCCCCAATTCTAGGTAATTGGATAGCATTTGTTTTTTTGTTCTTTGTGTAACTAGTTTGATTTGTTATATTTAATCACAACTTAATTGTTTGGAACACTTATATGGTCCCAATTATTAACTAAGTAACATGTTCTATGGGTTGAATTGAGCTATTATTCACCTCAGTGATTCATCGCCTGAGATTTTGTATTTGTATTTTACTTCATATTTAACCAGCAGTATTTGGGAATGCAAACGCTTATCTGTTTTTTAGTTATTTTTTGTCAAGGTTTCTTAAGCGCTACTTAACAGACATATTATTTAGCGTATTGAGTGAGAAGGCTAGACTCTCAAATCCTAATCAATACAAACAAGGATGTTTGACACTTCGGCTTCAGCTCAGTATTTTTATGATTATGTAGTGTGCTAATAACTTATATCTAGTATCAACTTTTAAAATGTATAGGTTAATAAAGGGCAACCAAAATTATTTTTTCTGCGAGATTTACGGACTCTCCACCTTCAACACACTAACATCAGGTGAAATTAAGGTATCGATCCTATGGCTGGTAAACATGAGATTCTTCGTGAAACGAATCCTTGTTTGTGTAATCCTTAACCGTGCTGGTTTTTATAATCATACACTAATCTAGCTTGAATTAGATGCGGTTATTGAAGTAGTCTTGGTCGATAGCCAAACTTCAAATTTGATCGTTGGATAAAGCTGTAAGATTCATGCTGCTTGTAGTGAAGGAGAACACAGGTGAGGACAACCAAATTGTATTCAGCACAAATTAGAGAGTTACTTGGTAAAATAGAAAAACCATATAGTAAACCGTTAATTTGCAAAATATCATTCCATCATATAAAACCGGACTGTTGCTGTTGCAAGCATCAATCTATTGTCTCACATTTCATTGTTCATCCGATTTCTTACAAATTCCATTGTGCTCTCACCCTTCCTTTCTTGATCTTCCCCATCTTCTGCTGCCAGATATTACGTTCCTTTAACTCACGTTATATACTACTTATATCGATATAAGTAGCACGCACCATATGCTCTGCAAGGAGTTCGTAAATCGAACGGAAACCGTATATCTGTCAGTAATTAACACTAAGTTTAATCGCTCATCGGAGGACGACATCTTTCAAACAAGGTGTGATAGATCATAATGATTTTCTTCGAAATGACTACTAAACAGCTTGAGTTAAATCAAGATGAATCGCCCTCAGTTCGCACTGCAATTTCGGATCTTGTGTATCCGACGGATTAATTTACCACGATAAATTCCTGAAACACATCAATGTTGCCTAAGTAGTGACCGATTTTGTTGAGTCTCACGTCGGTACTGATGCACTTTTCGAATTAGTTTCTACGCATGAGAACATGTTAGTGACTGGATATTTGCTGTGTTTAAAATGTCTCAAGGTGACCACAAATAAAGATTGTCGGAGTAATACTAAATTCTGTATTGTTGAGTATTACCAATGTACTACAGACCAGCGACCGTAAGGCCGTCTACTGATTTTTAAGTTCCTTTCCAAAAACGACTATCACGAGATAAACGCAATATTCGTATTGAAACGGTTTTGATTGTTCCGCTTACTACAATAGTAGTACATCTCCACACAAATCTGAGTCAACTAATTTGGATATATGATAGCGAAACCATTAGACAAATCAGGGTGCCGTTTTAATATTATTAAGTTCTTATTGAATTGTGTTCCAACTAAATGGATTCGAATAGCCTTATTCTCTGATGAAATTTTAAGAGAGATATCGACTAAATCTGTATTGGACAGAAATCTTTTAAGAGTAACTTTTATTACTGACTTTTAAAAAGTTGTGGGACTGGGTGTGTTAGCAGAAGTTTCATATAAAAGAAATTGAAATTTATTAAGTTATTGGTTGTGCAAGAGTTATTTACAAATAAAAAACAAACGGTAGTACACGGGTCAAAAAAGTAATTATTTAAGCACATCAAACTCATCTTCTTCAAATGCTTTGCGCGCACGTCGGAGCTCTTCACTGAGCAAGAGCAGCTCTTTCACTCGAGAAAATTTCTTAGGATCACGTCGAACGAGATAAGTAACATCTTCGACAGATATTTTCCCTGGTTTACCAATTTTTAATGCTTTTTTAGCCTAAATTTATTAGAAAGAGTATTTTTCAAAAAGGAGAAACTATCGTGTGATCACCCTAAAAATTATTGCGAAAAATAAGATTTTCAAAATCCCAGTGTACAAATCTAACAGACAGTAAGACTCGTAAAATTAGCGCGAAAACCAGCCGGTGTCGATGATCTTGCCATCAGTGTATCCACGGAGTTGACATTGCCCAAAAGAGAATTAAATTGATATATCTAAATTTCAATGAATCCTTAGCTTATACTGTGTAGTTTCACGCAAACGTTTTCTGCTCATATTCACAAAAACCATCATAGGTAAAAGATACAACCATTTGAGATTTAACTGATTTCATTCGTAAATATTTGTAAAGAACAACACATGTAGCTCTTCTACTACCGGTCTCAAGCCCGGGAAAGGAGGAGGGTTCGGCAACCCCATCCCGTAGACAAAAATCTTGCTAAAAAGAACGCCAATCACATTAAATCATTTAAACTCTGTCCAGGGAGTTGAAGGGAAAATTATAACACCTCATGAGGAAAGCCGAGA